CGATTACTTTTCAATTCGAAACCGGTCGTACAATAAACATATCATAATACTCTAGGCGATGCATTCATTGATTTATTTAATTAATATAATTAGTTCCGTTTTTATTGTTTTTATTATTAGTGAGTATTATGTTAATATTTTCAAACTAGGTTCATGCAACTTCAGAACCTTAATTATTATATATGACATCACGGTTTTACTAAAAAAATTGAAAACAAGTTTATTATACGAGTATAATTTTACTGTTGAGTAGATACTATTTTTCTTGCAGAAAAATGCAGTGCGTTGTAAATATTTCTCCGTTTTTCCCGTATATTTTTTTTCCGGTTTTTCGAAATTTTTATTTATATTTTATATTATCTCTAATGCATTCCACTTGATCCAAAATCCAACAAAAGTATCTCTTTTGCATTTTAGATAGGGTAAAAACCAGATATAGTAAAACTAATACATTTCTCGTTCCGCTCAGAATCTAAAATTAACTTATTAATCGATTAAAAACGATTTATAGGTACGGGCAAAAAGGATGAGATTGCAGGGTAGCTTAACTCTTTGATTTTTTTTTGTGTGCCCTAATAAAGAACATATGTTATTTAATGTATTTTAACTTTTAAGTATAAAATGAAATTGCTATCGCATTTTATTTATTTATTCTTATAATTGTATGATTTTTAAAAGACGAATTTGCTACAGTATAACGTTTAAACTCGTAAACTATAAATTCGGACCAATATTTTAACGAAAGTCAGAAAGTCGGGCGACAACATAACTAATGTCCATGCAATGCATCGCATTTGAATTTTAAATGGACTGCGTCAGAAACATAATCGCAAATTATTCTGTCTAGCTATATATTATGCATTATAAACTACAATGTTGTATAATTGAATATTGCACCCTCTACACCGTATAATATATTATAGGTACAGAATTTACAACGTAATCTCCCATTATGTGCAACTATAACAGTGTAGATGCACATGCAGTCGACATGTCACATGTAGTCACACTACACGCAACATTATACATAATAATATTATAGTTAGATACGTATTGAATTACAATAAAATGATATTTTGTAACATGAATAGTTGGAGAACATTTTTAATTTCTCGCGTTTGTTTTTGTTCAACAATATACTCGTAATGATTATAAAAACTCGTTTTTGAGAGTATTTCGGTCTTCGTATGAGAATTTAATATGCGCAGAGTAGTGGAGTGATTGGTGTGACCAACTAATTGCAAAATATTAATAATATTTATTAGTCTGGACATTTGATCAATACAAAAATATCAAAAAGTTATATAATTCTTGAGTATTAACCTCGAAAACAGTTTTTTTTTTTACAAACTGTAAATTAAATAACAGAAACTAACACAAGTTTTGGTCTCGAATTTCCACATTATTATTGTGTCTGTAATGTAATTATATGTATAGAGATAGTATTATTATAATCGAAAAATACATATTTTCTCAATTTTGGCCCGCGCACAAAAACCCACTTTATACGTCGTTCGCATCGTTAAAGACTATTTTAGAAAATATTATCGCATTGGTTTTTATGTACATTTTGTAAACCATCGCAGCTTCGAGGTTTACTTATGTTTGTCGGTTAGACGGGCCTTTAAAGAAATCGGTTTTCCTCTCTCTCACACCCCGCTATAGGCAAAATTAGCAAACCGTAAAAATAAATTGCCGGCTTGTAGAAACGCCGCCAAGGCCGCACCGCGTTAATTGCCCGTTCGCTCACAGTAAAAAATAACAACCCCCGAGATTACTTTTATTATTGTTTTTAAAATTTTGCATCGAGTTTTCATAAAAGTTTCCTCGGCGGCAGCCACCGTATCGTTGGACGTTAAAACGGGATTTACGTTGATATACGCACGCACCTGATCACGTACATATCGACCGGTCGACCGGTCGACGGCGACGCCCGCAGAAGAAGAAAATCGTGATTATAATTTCGGGAATATCTACTTTAAAGGGGAGCGGGAGATAGGACCAGAATTTATATTATTCTTCGTTTTTACGGTAACGGGGAGAGGGGGGGGGGCAGATTTTAACGCGGTCGTTAAATCGAGCCGTCTCTCGCTCGTCCTCTTCTCTCGTTCTCTCTCCCGTCGTTCCGTTACAATATGCACCAAAATAATGCTATGCGCCGAATAATACAATATACAGGAGGTACTTATTATACGTATACACGAATCGCATTCTTTAGGCAAATCCATTAAAGTAATCCTTTACAACTATAATAATAATATACTATAGACCTCTTCGCGTATGACGATGTAATGATATTATTTGTTAACGGATTAAAATTTAATCTCTTTTGTCACTATTATGTGCACTATATACCTACTATATACACGTTTTAATGTTGCATACTATTATAACAACGGCGTGTCTATAACATTTTATGTTTAGGTATACCTGCCGGACGGAGTGATATAATATAACAATCTTGTATGGCCGACGATGATTGCCGTCGTATACCAAATATAGATAATACAATTGAAAACGCTTTTCTACAATACGAAATAAACGGTGTATTTCGATTGAAAATGTTTAGTCGTATTCGTGGAATTTATAAATAGTCCAAAGTCTGTCAAAATTAAAGGGAAAATGGATTTTTTTAAGTCGCCCAAATATATTACAATATTTTAAAATCACTCGCCCAAACGCATCGTGGAAAATTTTCCAACGGCAATGCAATTTTTAATAATTCGTCCGAACGCAAACCGTCCGACAGGTATTATGTTATTAAATAACATATTACAATTATCACAATTATTTATCACAATTAAATAACAGTTATTTAATTGTGACCGCAAAAAGTGGCTCTGTGTTGATTTAGTCAGCCGGCCTTTTCTTTTATATTAAATAATGTGTTCATACAGATATTAGATTATCACTGTCATTGTACAATTGTACCGTTATTTAGCGTTGCATTCGTATTATTGTATTGCAAATCCACAAATCGTAAAACTTATGAATAAAAAAATGATGTTACTCTCATAAATTATAGGGCTCGGGATTTATAGGAGTTATTTTTTTGTATGCACTAGTTTTGTAGCAGACCAAGCTTGAAAATCTTTCTATAAAACATTTAAAATGCATATTTCGTTAATTTTATAAAAAAAGGGCATATTTATAGATTTTCATTGATTTTCGCATATTTTTTTACATATTCTGCGTAATTATTACATGCTAAATAAATTTATTTTTTTCTTTCTTAACCGATGTATTTTAAATAATATTGAATATAAAACTCAATATTATTTATTGTTATTTCTAATCGTTTCGTGTATTATTAATTTAATGATAACGGTGCAATTTGCATTTAATCTTTATCATTTGTGTGCATTAATGACATTATATGTTTTTGAATAATAAACTTTGAATCATTTTTTATATATTTATCACATTTTTTATTTTGCACATTTAAAATTTGCTGAGGCATATTTTACCATTTTTTGCCTTTTTAGTTCCTATAACTTCCGAGCCCTTACCGATCGATGAGTTTTAATATACTGTTTGTGTTGTGTTATACATTTTTTATTGTTTGTGTGTAATTTTTCTACCAGAAAACTATCTCTAAAGTATCAAATTACCACCTTTTCTGTAAGGAAATTGTATTTTGTTGGTGCATTGAGAAGGTGAAAATAATATTTTTATTTTCCAAAAGATTTTCATAATAAACGGGAAAATCCGAGAAAAAAATTATAGGTTAAACAGTAAATATTTGCGGCGCATTACCGATTTTATTGTTTATAATTTTTGCTATGTTTTCTACTAGAAGTATTGCTTTTATTAGAAAATGTCAAGAGACTTTCTTTTTTACATTTTGGATTTAGCTGACCATGAAATACATTTTTTTTAGATTTTTCGAGTATTTTTCAAAAAAAATAAAATAAATAAGAATGTCAATTTTTTTTTATTTCTCCTGTAGATTTTTTAATTACTGAACAAAACTGAATAAAAACGTAGAAAGAACAAGAAAATGTTCGAATCAATGCTTTTATTAGGTATTTAAATTTTTTTTTTGTTTCAATCGACATAAAAATATTCGTAGAGACTTGAAATTTGTACAAAAAACTTTCAAAAATGTTCAAAACATTTGAGCTATTTATATGGATATTGTAGTTTTTTAGTTTTGCGAGATTTTACGTAAGGTTAGGTTTTATTTGGTGGGTAAGTACTATGTGTATACAACTAAAATTATTGGAAATGCAACAGGAATTTCATCATAAGCTGCACTTGGTAGGTAAGAATAAAAGTTGAGCTTATTGTATTTATTTTTTCAAAGTTTGATGAAAATTGTAAAAATACGGCCTTTCAAAATATGTGTAACAATCGTCACTCCAAATTGTTTTTCATTAGCAATAGTTATCGTTGTTTACAGGTTTAAAGATTTAAAAAACCCAATTGCACTGAAATCTTTGTATTGCATAAATGTGCGGTCAATTTTTGATTACAACTCCTTGATTTGGTTCCCAAGCACTATGGGTTCGATAAAAGCAATATATTTGATTCAGAATCGATTTTTAAAAATAGTATCGTTTAAACGTGATTTTAAATCATTCCTCATTCCTCTTACTAGCCATTACTACTTTTTTAAATCTTGAATCACGAAACAAGACGAATAAGACTAGATCTCTGATTCATTTTAGATTCTGAGTGTAGCGATGAATGTATTGGTTTTACTAAGATGTTTACTTCTTTTTCTTTTTTTATGTTGTGTACAAAAATTCTACCTTGCTTAGATATATACGCGTGGTACCATTTTTTAAAGGGAATGTCGTCCAGGTGGTACTTTTGGGAAGTCATTCTTTGATTTTCCAAGTGGTTTTCATAATATCTGGGAAAACTAGGATAAAACGTACGAAAAAAGGGAAATATACGAAAATAATGCTTTTATTATTTTTCAATATTATTATTTATTTTAATTCAGTTAAAAATATTCGTAGAGACTTTAAATTTAGATAGAAAACTTATACGAGGGCTAATCAAAAAGTATCGAGACAGATAATATTACTCGGAAACCGTGCGTTAAAGAGCAAAACGATTTGTAAACCTAGCTTCTATGACTTATACTGAGCACATCTATTTGTATAAAATCTCTATAAACTTCTTCGTTTTGATTTGACGATATTTTTCTAAAATTTGTTTTTCACGTTTGGCGATTTCGTAATGAATCCAAAAGAAGCCGAACTTGCTGCCACTCGAGGACACATTTTCAATTTTTCAATTGACATTTAATGGCAGTAACCATGAAATGTTGCATCTTTCTGAAACTAGAAAAAAATGCAGACAAATTTTCTAAAATCTCCAAATATGTCAAGTTACTCTCCTTTTTGGTTTATTACAAAATCGCCAAACTCCTTTTTATATAAAATGTTTTTATAGTCACTTTAGTTTGGCAAGAATTTTATAGAGAAGCAATAAAAACAAATGTATTCAAAAAAAGTCATAGAAGCAAGTGATACCAATCCTACTGCTCTTTGATGCTCCTTTTCCGAATGATACTACCAGTCTTGATACTTTTTGATTAGCCCTCGTATTTGCCTTTCCTAAACGTGATACAATTTTCAATAAATTTAAGCTATTTTTAAGGTATTTATAGAGATTTTAATTTTGAGAGTTTTGTACTCAAAATTTATTCAGTAAGTACTCTGTGGTAAAATTGTAAGCTTGAACAGAAATGCTTGAAAATTTAACAAGAGGTTTATAAAGAGTCTTATTTAAAAATAAAAAAAAAATAGAGTTTATGAAGTATTTTATTTTATAAGGGAATTTTAATATTAAATAATGACAAAAACCGTTTGAGTAAAAAATTATGTGAAACCAATATAATTTTTCAATTTTTTTTTTATTTTTTTGAACTTATGTATATTGCCGATTTAAGAATGATGGGAAAGTTAGAATTAAGTTTCAAAATTATAGCTTTCTGAAATTCTGATATTAAGTGCATATTATATGTTATGTAAAATAACTTTATATTGTCCTTCTTTAAGCATATTTGTCATGACCTAAAGGTTACTTATGCCTATTATCATCCTAGGGATTCCGAGTTCATAACTATTGTGACGAAAAAAAACGTTTAGCCTTTTTTTCCTTTTTACCTAAATAAGGAAAAAACAAATGCATTTTGAATGCACCTAAAGAATCCCTCGGATTATTTTAATCGCAAAATATACCTCGATTTGTTGTGCAAACTTTCCTACAAGAAATCTTACTCTGATATATCAAGTGTAGTTTATTTTCTGAAAGAAAATTTTAACTCCGTGATAATTTAAGAATGTCATTTTTTGATTTTTCAAGCAGCTTTCATAATATTTGGGAAAAATCGTGAATAAATGTCGAAAAACGGAAAATGGTACGAAATGTAGATATTAGTAAAAAAATATATTACGATTTTTTTTTTCTGTAAACAACTTTTCTACCAGAAATTTTGCTCTAATTTACAATGATAGGTTTCTTTCTAAAAATATCTGACTGGGGAAGTATTTTAGGAGGTCATTTTTCGATTTTTCTAAGAGTTTTTCCAGCACATGTAAAAATTCGGGAAAAACATGGGAAAACTGGGAAAAACGGGAAAATCGGTACAATATTAAATAAATATTATTAAAGAAAACACTTAATACCTATTTAATTAGGTACCTATTTTACCATATAACATATATTGTTGACAAAGCATCACATCAACTGAACTATGCTCAGAATCGTTTTTCTTGTTAGCAATGGTTCATTGTTGCTTACAGATATACATTAAATTACCTATAATAGTTGCTGCATGTATCTCCGTTAGCCTAGGACGTCTTATTTTAAATTACTAATTGGGAATATTTAACTGTCCAACTTTAGTTGCCAAATTAAATTACTCAATTCTTAGTCGTTATACTAGATAGTCAAATACATTTTAATATTTAATGTGCCATTTCAGTCCACGATCTATAGCTTAAATGCTTCTGTAATTAGATGTATAATATTTGTAAAGAAGTTTAATATTGATCTTTCTTTATGCGTAATTATTAATGTTATTATGGTATATCTAAACGTTTTACTTTCTTAAACTGTCAGTGGCACTATCTCATTGTATCTTATTATGTATATATATTATTTTATACTTTCAAATTACACTGTGATTGGGCTACTGCCCGTATAAATAACAATAACTTTGACTTTGGGATTATTTATTTTAATTATTAATGATATAGGTGCCAAGTTCTTTTTTTTTAGTCGTGTGCTATAGTTACAGCTAAATAAATATTGAAAATGTGTATTTTGTTTACATTTCATAAAAGTTCATCGATAAAAAATGAACTGCGCAAGAGACAAATATAAAGGTGAAACAGAACGAAACAAATTGTATTTTAATACATCTTGAAGTCAAAATGTGGTGTTACAAAACCTTATTCTCCATTTTTTTGTGTTTTACAACATTTATATTTGAATTTCTTTCAGCGACTCAGTTTCAGTCAAGTATTGAAAGAGTGTCACAATCTCAGTTAGATTGTTCAGAATTGTCTCGGTCTCCGTCAGATTGTTCAGAATTGTCTCGGTCTCCGTCAGATTGTTCAGAATTGTCTCGGTCTTCGTCAGATTGTTCAGAAGTGTCTCGGTCTCAGTCAGATTGTTCAGAAGTGTCTCGGTCTCAGTCTTATATCATTTTAAAGACTGCTGTACAAAATGTGTCTATGCAAGTTGAGTATGTAAGTGACAAGATAAAATCAGTTAGGATTGCTGAAAATACGTATGTAATATATTCTTACTCACAGTTCATTTATTTTGAAAGCAAATTGAATCTAGTGTACATAGTTTTAAACTGTGAAATTGGGGCTTGGCTTCGATATAAGTTGATTAAAATCATAGAACATTTTCCGGTTTTGTATGAATCAAATTTTACATACTCTATCGTTAATTTCTCCTTAATTCACTATACAGACATTTTTAATGAACTAAAGAAAATCGATAAAATTGTTAGTCATTCCGTAGACATATTATTCAAGTTAATATTTATTAATACATTAGATACTTTCAGTGACACAACTATTTTAAAAACATTATTGAGATTTATATTCGGATATAATTTTTTACTAAATATATTCAGTGATGGATTTCAGGAATATCAAATCGATAATATGTTTAGGAGAAAATCAGACATATTTGTAAGTAATGTATTCCTCGAAATAATAAACTCAACTCAAAATTTTGCCTTCCTGAATTGTAATTATTCGCCGTATTACAATGATAAAGTGTTTTATGGGTTTACAATGAGTGATACAGAGGACCAGAGTTTCACAAATATTTTGGAAATTCTAGATTTTAAATTGAAAGGGTTTCAAAGCAACTGTAGTATTAAACAATGGCTGCTAATAGAAATAATTGATTTAAACATTGACAATATTCATGTGAATACAATTTATGGTGAAAAACCATTGAGAATAATTATTCAAAAAATTCAACAAACAAACGACTTTGAGTTAATACTCTGGTACCAGAATATTATTTTAAAGACATTTATTAAACTATTAAATGATAGAATAATAAAATATTTAAATTTGCATAAATTGCCGTTTGATAAAAGCATATTACACAAATTGAATAAAATATTTAATTTATTATTCGAATATGATAATTTACCGAAAACTTTAAGGAAATGTATCAAGGAATCTCGGAATGAAATTCATATCACATCTAATAATAATGGGATATATAATACATGTTTATCTGATTATGTCGATGAAAATCAAAAAGAGTTTGAAATAGTTATAAGTGACGTAAGAGATTCAATGACATCACCAAAACAAAAATTAAAAAATTTTTTGAGAAACATAATGGACGTTTTTGATAGTTTCACTTGTTTCTTCCAGCTTTATCAGCTTTTAAATCATGAATTTAATTCATATTTTTACATACCATACATAAAAACTCATAAAAAAATTAACGATTTTATACGAGCTATTAATAATCAATCAACCCAGCCTCCAAGTGTCACAAATGTATACGACAAGTATTTTGGATGTTGTAGATATGCAAAAGGCTTATATCAAGCTTGTTTTGAAGTTACAGTAAAACTTAACAATTCATCCATGGAATCAATTGATGAGCTTGAAAAATTATTTCTCGAAGCTGACGCTATTCTTACAAAGGTAGAACAATTTATTGTACAAGTCATTAGAGAAGTCGATTTTTCTTTTGTTACAATACTTTATCAAATACTACCTCTATTGCAAATTTCAAAGACACAATTATTCAAAACTAAAAACTTGTATGATTCAGTACGACTAGTGCATGTTATTATGAATTTGTTAAATGATTACGGTCTCGAATTCTGTAAACCACCAGACTTTAATTTTATGTTGTTTAATAACATGGAATTTGGAAGTATTGGTCGACTTAAAATGATCTTCAGTGAAATAGAAAAATCAGTTACAGATATTAAGAAGTTTCATAATCAATATGTTCAAAGTGTTCATAGTTTACAAGCTGTATACACGGCATATTATCAAAACGAACGATATTTGTCTTCGTATGATGAAATAATTAAAGTTTATTGGAAAGGAGATGCCACGTCATTAAAATCGATTTGTGAATTCACCATAAAAAATATAACTCTACATCCGTATAAACTGTATAAATTCTATGATTTATATTTTAGTTTTACACTTGCGGTATTATATTTTGAAATAGACAGTTTACGAAAGGATATTGTAGAAAATATAACAGATGGCTTATGTTCAGAATTTAATCAGTTACTAAACAACTACCCCATTGAAAACCTTTTCCCAGATAAATTCGATGAAACTTCACATAGACTTAATCTTTTTATTATTACTATTCTTTCAACGAAAAAATGCAAAATATCTGAAACGGATATTGATGAAGTGTACAATGATTTACCACTTGATGAACGTTATTCACGATTGCAGACAGATATTAAGCAAGATCTACAAAGTTTGGACCTTCAAATTTTGTTTGAGTTAGCTCCAGTAAACCATACACCCTACACCATATGCCAACAAGACAATACACCATCTAAACCTAAAGAATGTAAAATATCATTTAAAAAATTAATTAGTCAGCCTAAAAAACCTGAAAAATCAACATCTCTAACTAAAATAGACAACCAAGAAATGTCTGCTTTAGCTATTATTCTTTCAGCAATACAAGCGGCTATGGATGGATTTCAAGTTTAAAAATAAAATTTTGAATACAAACATTTTGGTATAAACACATCTGTAATAACTTGTTGCAATTAGTTTTGTTTTTTTTTTTTAATTTTAAAACACAGTTTTCACAACCATAGTAATATAGGCGTATGTAACTTGTACAATATAATTTTTTTTTTAAATAATTATTCTAATTTAGTCTTAAAATTATATTTAAATTGTTTCCTTCTTAATATAATTTTTATTGATTATGTACCTATATAACATTTTTGAGTTTATAATAACAGATTTGCACATTATAATTACGTGAACTTCGAATACTTATTTTGTATTGAATTTATATAAGTGTTATAGTTAAACTTATGATTATAATTTATAATCATAAGAGAAATCCCTATACAATTGAATTTTTTAATTTTAATCTTAAATTGGCCAAGTAATATAATAAATAAAAATAATTGTGATACTAAAATACTACTACTTCAATTGTACAAAATATCGTTTATTTGTTGGTAATCTGGCATTATTATATGTGTTACAAAATGTTTGTATTCAAATGATATTTTTATTTTTTATTCATTGCACATTAATTGTTTTCTATCGAATATTATCGATACAAACTGTATCGTTTACACTAATGTTATCTCGCACAAACACTATAAAAGTTATTCTTATTGTATAATTCCATTTTATAACAACTCATGTAAATATCGTGCGGAAATAATTTTGCAGATTGTTAAACTATTTTATAAATTTTTTTCTTCTATAATATGTTTATAGTCCACAAGGAAGTGATAATAAAAAAATAAATTTGTATATATATTAAATATTTTTATTTATTTATAATAAACAATCAAATACCTATAACAAACTATCAGTTTTAAATGTAATAAATAATTCTTAAATCTACATTCAATCCAAATTTCAAGTCTCTAGGAATACTTTTAACTGAATTACAACAAATAATAAAATCATAAATTTCCCGTTTTTCTTACGTTTTATCCTGATTATTTAAAAAAATGACTTCCTAAAAGTACTATCTGGTAGAAATTGTGTACACAGTATGTATAAAAAAAAAATAATAAAATAAAAACCGTACTTCGCATTTGGATGCAGCCACTGTTGTAGATGGGAAAATAAAAAAGTAGGATATAGACAAGAATTGAATGTATATCTGTAAGCAAAGATAAACCATTATTACTAACGAAACAACGATTCTGAGCGGAGTTCAGTTGATAGAATAATTGCTTTTTTAACAATATATGCCACGTGATTCATTTAAGTTGGTACACTCATTATCTCGTAAAGTATTAACTTTTTCCAGTATTTTTTTTTTTTAGAATATTTAGAAACAAGCTACTCTACAATTTCATATTTGTGTTATTTTTCGTCACCCTTATTTTTGGGGGTAAAACAACTACGTAAATTTAATTTTTAAATGGCAACCTATATTAAAAAGTTCATAAATAGATTGGGTGTTAGTTTAAATAAATTTGAGCGTTGAAATTTTTGATTTCTGTCAAGCCGTTAACGAAATATTCCACTTTTAATTTTAAGTTGGAGGAGAATAGTAGTGCATTATTAACACGCTGCGCGCCGTACTGCCACACTACTCACCTCCAACCAAAACTTTCCATTTGGAAATAAAAGTTGGAAGTTGTTTAATCCCAAAAATAAGAGGGACAAAAAAATAACCCAAATATAAAATTGTGGAGCAGCTTGTTTCTTAAGTGTTCTAGAAAACAAATTTCGAAAAAAGTTAATACTTTTCGAGATAATTGGTGCACCTACTTAAATGAATCACCTGGTATGCTATATTATAGTAAAATGATTACAACAATGTGCGTTTCCATGACAACAATAATTGTTTAAAAAAAATTAAAACAATAAAAAATAAATAAAAATGGATGCCAATGACATCCTTATTTTTAATCATTCATTATTTTTTAGTCTAAAGCGCTAGGTTTTCTTCGTTTTCTCGATATTAATGAGAATTTCAAAAAATGGCCTGTTTACAGTACCACCCAGAGAATATTTTCTTTTAAACAAGATGCTATACTTAAAAATCGGGATAAGTTCTCTGGTAGAAAAAGTGTTCATATAAAAAAAAAAATAATAATAAAATAAACATCATTGTAAAACCAATACATTTCTCGCTCTACTCAGAATCTAAAAGTAAACTTAAAGATGTTGTAAGATATTGGTGTAAAACCAATAAATTCTTTGCTATACCAAAAAAGAACTCTTACAGAAAAAAGCACTGGAACAAAGAAATTTTGGGAAAAACAGATTGGGAAAAGTTTCACCCTGCCCAGTTAAGCACAGGCCAATTTACGCCTCTGCAATACACTACGGAGCAAGTATTAAATATGAATGTTACCGGGCAATCGACAGCCATTCGCAACACTTTATTGGTACACAATAAAATAATAATAATATCACATCATGTTACATATTATTATTATTATTATTACGAGTATATTGGTTATTACTTACCTGCCACGACGACGACGGCACACTCGCGTCTTATACTACTCGCGTTGTGTGGTCTACGTTAACTATACGGCGGCATGTGCGGCGTGGCGGCGGAGTTCAATTACTTAAAAGGGACACCTGTATACCGCACGATATATTATTATTATTAAATCGATCCCTCCGGGTTTTTTCGTACTTGGATGTTTATCCGAACACGTTTATTATACACGGCCAACACTCACCCTCCCTCACCTTCTCCCCTGGGAACCCGAGCCTGTCCGCATGTCTTTTGAAAATATAACTAATAATCGTAATACTATCACGCAACAACGTCGTTTTATTTTCAAATGTTTTCCGTCGGCTTCCGACACACCGCGCCATTTTATTCTGATTATACGCACCGCACGTTTCACGGCCGATTTGGAAATTTACAATTTATTGTCAGCATGATAATATTATTACGCGTTCGGTATTTATTGTATTATGTTGTACATTTTGTCATTATTGAATCGGTGTGTTGTGTTTTCTTTTTGTTGTCGGTTTTTTCACCGGTATGCCGCTGGCGACAATAACGGCGGCGTTTAACCCGCGTTATTTTTGCGACGCCCGGGGTCCGTAAACAGCGCGCGTGTGGTCGGTTGACCGGCGATGGCGCGAACTTCCTCACTCTTTGAAGTAAAAATCTCTACACAATATATTATATTGTATACCCGCGTTTCTTATACGTAGGTACACTCTCATCCATAACCTTGCACCGTCCTCTATACATACATATAATATGTGTTTTATAGATTCTAAGAAAAACGTATTGGTTAGGTTTTGTGTGTTTAGGAAAATAAAATCATGGGTAAAACACACAAAAAAGACCAATTGAAGAAAAAACAAACTTATCTTAGTAATAATCCTAAAAAATTACTACGCGTTTCAATATTAAAATCTGTCAAACCCAACGCCTACAGTTTTATCTGCAAGATTTTCGATATAAAACGTCACATTTGTCTGTATGCCTTCCACCTAAATGAGTAACGGCAGTAAATTAGTGAAAAAGTCGTACCATTAAAGCAAGAAACATTTTTTATTTTTCTCAAATTTTACAAAATTTAGAAAACCGTCACCAATCCCCTTATAAGCAAACTACCGTTGATTTAAACCTAATAATATATAGATAACTATTTATATTAGATATACAATACAAAAGTGTTCGCTTGAGCAATATGCCGCATATAAGCAGAAGTAAATTTGGCGCCCCTAAATTGTAATGGTAAAATTGTTAATCCTATAGGTGCACTAATTCACTATTAGGTTCACATGTTGAACGAGTTGAAGTATTTTTAGTTAAAATTATAGTAGTAGTTGTTGTAGACGAGTCTACTATAACTACTATAAGCATGATAATACTTAGTATTGAATAAATTAAGCAAATTTTTAAATATTTCGAAATTAATTAATTAAATTAAAATCTCTTAATCCTGTCAGACCTAGACATAATTTTATTTGCAACAAATTTTGGAAGTCAACATAAATAATTAAATAAAAATACGGCCATACTTCGTACGTGGGTAGGTAACTGTTGAAGGCGAGAAATTGGTAGAGGGCCGAGGAGACATTTAATATATATCTATAAGTAACGATAGACCATTTCTAACGAAAAAATGATTCTGAACGGAGTTTTTCAGTTATTTCCCTGGTTTTCCCATTTTTTCCCCTATTTATCGGGAGAACTTCTGGGTATATCAGAAAATTACCTCCCTAAAGTACCACTCCAGTCAGATTTCTTTTCAAAAAAAGTAATATCATTATAAATCAGAACAAAGTCGTTAGTAGAAAAATTGTCTGCTTGGAAAAAGAAGTCGTAATATTTTTTACCAATACCTACGTTTCATAAATTTTCTGGTTTTTCGTCATTTTATCCAGATTTTTCCAAATTATTTTGAAAACCGCTTGAAAAATCAAAAAATAACCTCCTTAAAGTATCATGTATATGGTAGATACAATTTCCTTTCGGTAAAGATATTATACTTGATACATCAAAGCAAGATTTCTGGTACAAAAGTTTGTTCAACAAATCGAGGAATATTTTTCGATTAAAATAGTCCAAGCGAGTGATACGGCTTGAGTCTCTAGGTGCACCCAAAATGTATTTATCATTTTCCTATTTAGGTAACACGAAAAAAAAAAAATTTAAACAATTTTTTTTGGAAGTCGGTTTTGAACTGCAATGACAACAGCTAAGTATGACCACTAGACTACGACAAATATACTATAAAATTATCATTATTGAGTTATTGAACATAGCATATATAATGTCTGCAAAATATTAGAACCTCGAAAAGCTATAATTTCGAAATTAAGTCTGTCTGTTCAATTCTGATTTGACCATCGGCAATATACATATTACGTATAAAACAAAAATTAAAACAAATCTAAAAATTAGATCTGAATGAAATTTTAAAAAATACCGATTTATTTTTGGTGACAGAAAATTTTCATTTTGAAAACAAATTTCAAAATAATCGCTTGGATAAACTAGCAGTGTTCCAAAAATGTTATTAAGTAAATATTTTTTTACCTTTTTTTCAATTTTGCCGTGGTGAAAAAAGTTTCAAGTTTCTTGTTTTTTTAATAACACTTTTTTCTTATTCGTATCGCTTTACTTGCAGCTTTTTGTATTTTTCTCTACTTTTGATCTACTATCGACCATCACTCATTATAATGAAATTTGAGAAATAATAATAATATACTAATAAAAAACGTAACTATAGTTAACACTGTCGTCACGTCGGGTCTAATACTATAGGTACTAACAATTTTGTTTCATCATAATTAATAACACCACTAAAATAAAATATGATTAAACTATAACAACATGTAATAATACGCAAAAATAATATCATTTTAGCATTATAGGTTATCATCATAGGTTTATAGCATATTAATTATAATCGTTATTCAAAAAAGAGACAGTAAAAACATAGTTTTGCAAAAAAACTAAAAATTCTAGTTTTCCGCATTTTTTGTATAGGCATACATAATTTTTTTTTGTTAAGAGCAGAAATTTTATGGTAATGAACAAAAAAAAAAAATTCCTATTTTAAAATTTATAAATTTACATATTTTAACATAATTTACTTTTATTACATATTTTCGTTAAATGTTTGTTAATGAGCAATGTGCGTGAATTCCCGGACGAAATTTTTCGTGCGGAATTTATGTGATGAAGCCGTAACAACTCAGCGCTTT